GGTGGACCCAAACAAATCTAAGATTCGTAGTCAAAACTAAGATTACTAGTAAATTCGTAAAGTAAACTTAAAGTAGTCGTAGTAAACTAAGATTCGAAAATTAAGATACTCACCTCACATAACCTCTTATTCGCCAGCTTTACTTGCGCATTTTCCATTTTCGTAACAACTGATTGTTTAGCAAACTTTCCTTTCTGACGTCCACGCAAGATTCTATTTGTATTTCGCCACGAACTTTCGCGAATGGGACCCATTTTTAGTCAAAATAAAAGTAGTAATAAAACGATAACAATACTACTCAACTCGCGAGTGCACGGGAATAGAGCCATCAGTCGGTATAACAAGAGAGACATTCATTCCCAGTGTTGCCACATTTCGATTACTTGACTAGACCAAGTAAGTCTGATGAGTGTCGTGATTATTTGTTTCTTATTTGTTTTAGCAAAACTAATTAAAATAATGTATTGCATGTGAGGTAAATTTCAAGAAAATATTTTCCAAACACTTTTTGAATGCCAAGGAGGGTTAGTAAAAAGTCTTTATTTTAATCTCTCAATTAATCTAAGAGTAGCTATAGAGCTACCTTAAACGTACAAGGTTTACCAAACGATGAGCACAGTTCGTTGCTACTATGAACAACTTCATTTCAAATTCATTTCCATCTTTTTTAACTTTGTATCTTTGATATCTTTCTTCTTCTTCTTCTTCAGCTTTCACTTTGACTTTTGGAACAGGAATGGGATTTTTAGGCGTTAAGGAGTACGTTTTATAACAGATTGTACGTTTGTATATTTAAAAGTGTGTTTATTTTTGCTATTGAAGGTACTGATTTATTAATAGCAATCATCAACGTGACTTTTTGGTTTTCACCATACTGTGAGAGTGCCAAATGACGTACACTTTGTTTTTTTTCCAGTGTATTAAAACTACTCTGCACGTATCGCAAACCATGTTAGGAACCCAAGTTTTATCTACATTGGTCAATTCATTATGAACATATTCTTTATACAATAATTTGATAGACATTGTTATGGATTTACGTTGTTTAGTTGGGACAAAATCACACACTGTCGTGAAGACATTTTTTATGAAATAAATGAAATTGCTATAACAGTAAACTTCAAATGACGGTACATGGGCAGAAAAAAAGATATTCAAAACTTAAAAAAAAGGTTTTAGAGGGTAAAAGTGCTCCTTTAAGATAGCTTACTTAGTTTTCCAAGAAAAAAATTTTATTCAAGATGTTATTGTACCTCAAAAACAGCGAAAAACATCATTTTTTGCACTTTTAGGTTAGGATATTTCAAAAACTTGATGTGATAGAGTATTCGAAGATCAGATTTGAATTCAGCGACCCAATATCTACCGGAAATAACTAGTCTCATCTAATGAGCAAGTTTCATGTCGCGCTGTGTTATTAATTAGTGCACATGTTAGTACATATTTTTAAATAAAGTTATTTAAGTATACTACTGTTGTACAAGAAAAATAAAATAAATTAGTTTGTGTCACTAGAATTTCATTATTAGTTCTTAAAGTTATGTTTTATGAAATTTACTTATTTTTATATCACTGAGATTTAAATTTAAATGTGTATCAATCAATTTCTGTAATGTACACGTTAATTTATTTAAATAAACTGATAGAGGAAAGATAATGTTATCATATGAACTGAGAATTTTTGATTTATTGTAGGTAGTACATAACAATGTCGTTTGTAATTCATAGTGAACAACTAATTTTATGAGTTCTAATTTATCGCATTATAGGTAAACAATAAATTCCGGGACATTTTGCTGAAAATTTTCAGCATAAACTTTGCTTATAAATTTTCTTAAATTATATATATTTAAATGAACATTGCTATCTTTACATTTCAGTTTGTATTCATTGAATATTTAAGTTAGTGCATTTATGTGTTACCTGTCTCAAAAGCATCTCTAACAGATGAGCAGTTGAATAAATTTTGAACAGTAGAATTAGCATAACATACCTGAGTAGAATTAGCACAAGATACCTGATCTGAATTTAGAAGTCTGATTAATTGCCAGTTGATTTTTAAGGAAATAATACTTGGATAAGTAGTTTTATTTGTATACAAGTTATGGGTTTTGGAAACAGTGTATAACGGTTTTATGCTGTTTGCAGCAGGGTATCATCCAATTATTTTGATGATTGTCACGGCAAGTTTTACACGCTGCGGTAGCGATGGTCGAGTTATAAGGCGCGTGTGGGTACTTGCAGGAATCTAGGCGTCGAAGTCGGCAGTTATATAATAATAATTTTTATTATAAAGTGACAGAGCTCCAGAGAGATGTCCTTACAAGGCGAGATCATATACAGGACTGAATGCGCTTGTCCCTCTCGGGGCTCATAAACTTGAGATAAGTCCCTACCACTTCCTTCAGGAACAAGTATATCCTGGGAACCGAGAGATTCATATAGCTTAATTGTTTATTTAGGTTTGCAGCTATCTATGTTCTATTTTATTTCTGGTCTAGCATGTATTTACCGCGTACAGTTTGTTTGTTTCAGCCTATCTTATATCTTCTACTTCGGTCGGCCCGCGTATGCAACGAATACACGTATGTATATGACATATGTTCTTATAGCTACAGGAGATAACTATATTATTTTATTATTAGTTCGCATGATAAGGGTGCTGAATAGGTAGATTGAAACTTTGATTACTTTTGTTATTGAAGAAAAATGTACTAATTCATCATCTTCGAACATTTTATAAAGATGATTATGCATATGTTCCTGGATATAAGAGATTGTTGAAGGTATAAGTGATTGTTGATTGTTGAAATGTACCGACGTTGCAAATGTAATAGCAAAAACACGGCAATTGTCATAATTTTTTGATTCTGTACTTTTTCAAAAACGAGAATTTCTCGGTCGAATTTTCTATTTTTTATGAAGTAAGAAAATAGATGTTTCAAATACATTTTGATATAAGGATGTAGATCATTTTGATTGAGCGAGTTAAAAATTCTTACGAATTTAGTATCATAAACAGCAAACCCAGTAGGCACCAACACATTTGCTGCAATTATCATTACAACTATGCAAAATTTGTAAATGCGCTGTATTTTGTGCAACGGGTTGAATCCATTGCTTATGTAGATAGTTTTTAATCTTTTGTATAGCTAATGTGGATCTTGGTTTAAAATGAGGCTGCTTTTTCAACGAACAATTGTTTAATATAGAATGAAATTTATCGATATGAGTGTCTTTTAATCTGGACCTATTTTTTTATAATTACTTTATCATTGTGACTCAACTTGTATCTGAAGGCTGTCATATTAAGTTCTTCGACGGATATGGTATCATAAAATAAATCCCATACGGGTGTACGTTTGTCTTTTGTTTGTTTCGTAAAGTAGGTACAGGTACAGTATGATATGTAAAGTATATGAATGGTATGATATAGTAATTATAGTATCTGGTATATACGGTATGTTGTTCTTGGTTTGTTTGCAGATACGATTTGGAACAAAAATGAAAAAAGTACGGTATAGGTAAAAAAATACGAGTAAAAAATAAAAATTAGTTTGTGCAATAAATTCGCTATTTATTTGGAAATACTATATGTAATCATTTTCTACATAAACTTGCCAATACTATTAAGATATGAACAAAATATTTGAATGATTGATTTTATTGAGATAAAGCGAAGTTCACGAAAATTAATAAGCTCAAAATTTCACCAACCGCGACTCTTGACATTTTCGTTGTTGTTATTTGTCAAAAACCTGAAAAAGAAAACAATATATTTATAATTTACAAATACAAAAATTCATGTGAACATTTGTAAAACAAAATAATATTATCATTCTATAAACAATATTTCCAGCATCAATGAAGAAATTCAGTCATAATAAGTTAAACCTATAACTCTAATTTGGATTTTTAAATAATATACTCTTGTTTCTATTAGAACTTTTGCTTTATTCAAAAAATTATATTTGTTAGAAACTACGTTATATGAAACTTGCTACTTCTTTATTATTTCAAATGTTGGATTAACTAATCAAATTTTCTAAAAATAAATTTCAGATTCCATCATAATGGAAATATAGACATATACAGATTGCAATGATTTTCATCAAAAAAATAAAGTGCTAAAATTGCAAATATTTCTACCATAAACATTTAAGTATGTAAAAAACAGTATATAGTCTAAACTTCTTTGCTACTTTTTATCAAGTCCTATAATCTTAGCGTATACGTTAAGAAAAGATTATAAATATCTCTAACCAATGTACATCAGTCAATATATTGTATTATTCACAGTGTTTAGCAGTAGATAATGACAAATCAGCATATCAAAAACAATCACAGTAGCAAACTTGATTGTAACGCAATATGTTGATAACAAGTAGCTCCCAGACCACCTAGAAATAAAGTGTCATAAATATGATACCCATGTTCTACTAACAGAGAATTATATGAGAATAACTTTATCATTTAACAAATATATTCGTGTTTTTACTATAGAATGATTCATAAAAGCAAAACTTTTCTATGAAAAACTGAAAATTTATTTTCACAATATTTGAAACTGATGGGAAACGATCGAAAAATCTCCAATATGTATAGTTTCAATCAAAGTAAACAATGCAAAAAACCATGACATAGAAACAGTAATAATGAAGTACACATGTTCTCTTGTGAAACTTATTATTCCAGGTTATATCAATGTTATATAAATGTTATGATGCAATAATACTTACTCTCTTGAAAATAGAATTTAAACACTTTCAATTACGGAATAAAAAAATCTCAGAGCGAGTCAATTCTGTTTTTCAATATTTCCTTAACTATAAAGAGATACAAATGACAACAAGATACAACCATACAACTCAAGCTTATAATTACTATTTTGAATCAGTGCATGTATCATGTACGTCTTAACCTTAACCCTCGTTTACGTTTGAAGAAGACCTCTATACCTTGTGCCAATTCTATTGTAGTTCTCTATCGACTAAGAGAGGGCGCATGGGTAAAAAAGCAAATTTGTCGCGAAAGTCGCGAAATTTTTGTGCGCTATTTTTCGTCCTCTGATTAAAATGATTATACATTGCAAATGATTGTAGATTGTAGCTTGTAACATATACTTGTTTTACACAAGAATGTAGTGTTTCTTTCAAAATATAACTTCTGTATGTTCTAAGTTCTAATATTTACAACACCTACCTGCCCAAGTTTTAACGCTGTTTCGCTGTGTCAACCTTTAACTTATACATCTGTTTACTAGATATTTTTATGGTAAGAACTTGGTAAATGTTTTTTCTATTATGTTTTAAGAAAGTTTTTCATGTTTTTTTGTTTGTGTTGGTCGTAATTACATACAGTAGTGTATAAAGATGATTGAGGCAATGTAACAATGTAGGATAATGTTTATACATTGAACATTGAGCATGTATTCTTATTATGTGCAGTCATCGGAGCTCTTTCGAGTCAGATGTGTGCCAGAGAATGATAGAAGAACTGTTGTGCTAATATTACTATTTTGTAGAATATTTTTACAATAGATAATTGTTTGGTATCTGTAGAATATAATACATTTTTAGTATTCAAAAAAATCAAGGAGTTAAGTAATATGAATTATGCATGTGAAAAATGAAGTACCTAAACAAAATATTACATGATTTCAAGTGTCGATTATATATCTAATAAAGTCTTCAGTTTTATACAGTTTTCAGTGTACGAGTTTTCCAAAATAAATAAATACAAATGTAGATCATCACTTTTTCATGTTTATTAATTGATCTGGTTTATAAAAAATACATGCTTAATATTGGTTACGAACACTAAAATATAGATGATAGAATAGTGATTATTTGAATATAAAATTATTAATTTTAGTTCAGAATCTTAGATTCATTGGTACAGTTATTATTTTGATAAATGTTATGAACTAAATTTCAAATATAAATATCTTATAAGCTTATAGATTTTCTTATAACAATATTAATTAATACATCACATTATATTATTATATTTCTATTTTATAAAACACATTCAAAAGTCACTTATATCTTTAGCTCAGTACTCATATGTTAGAAACATAAAATTAATGATATCTTATTAATACTTTTTTTGTGACTTTTTTTTTCTTAAACATAATTTTTATGTTACATTATCATGTAGAAGTATTGTATACATTTCAATTATTTTTCTAAGAATAGAGTTTATATAGTTAAACCTTTGTATATGATATAAACAACTACCATGAACTTAAAATATTTGCAGTCTAACTTTGGTACATGCATTCTATTTTATTAAATAAAAGCAGACTACAGTAGCTTCAAATACATTACAAAAAAAATTGAACATTTCATAAGACTATTTCCTTATTGCATGCAAAATGCTTGAATAGTTTTCTCATATAAATCTAAATTAAAAAATAGATAGAACATATCTTTTCATATTTTCTTTAAAAAACCAATGTTTCACGAACATTGTAATCTTAAATTGCTGAGCCTAAATAATGTTTAAGCATTTTAATAATAAGTCATAAAATTAGTTTCAAATAAATGAGTTTATTCAGAAATATCAACTATTAAAAAATAATTATTGTAAGAATGTTCTTTTCAGGTCAAACTTGTCTAAAAATGATGGATATTTTAGAAAGAAAATAGTAGTAGGCAAAATGAATTTAAGAAAGAAATTTGAATGGAAGAAGGAAAAATGATTTTTTTTTAAACTATAATATCCTCTGCGAATGAAGGTTATTTTTGTTCTTCCTGCAAGCTTTCTAGCATCTTCTTGGAATTTAGACTCTTATTTACAATATTTCCACTGCATTTCAAAAGTTTCAATGGTATATTGAACCCATTGACTTTCTCCTCTTCCAGTTTCATTTCATCCCCTAAAATTTCCAGACAGCTAACATCCTGGCATACAACTTTCATGCACCTTGAGAATTAGAAATAGGGATATGAACTTAAAAATAACGAAATTGGTCACAACGCAAGTTATTTTTAATATTCACATAGACTTAAGCTATTATAAGACCTTTGAAATGAGTTTCTAGCTTAAAAATGATATTTCAAAAGCTAAAGTGTTCTTTAGATTTACGTTTAATTTAATTTACAATACATTTTAATATATGTTGTAATGTAAAAATTTCATCACTTCAGTATAATAGTTTTGTTTTTGAATTTAGTATAGATGATTCTTTATAAGAATTGTGAGAATATTGAAGCTATATATTTAACTGATAGATAACTTTTTGAGAGAATTATAAATTAATTTAAAAATTTGAGGATATCTTCCTCTTCATAAGATATTTAAGGTAATTATATTCCTATTTGTGTGCTATCAAATTTTTTGCTATGATTGACTTTCAAAGTATCGGCACTCCATTTTGGGCCATTCATTTTTTTTTACTATTCCATTCATATTTTTTGAGGAGTTGAAAAATCACAACTTGGATTTCATATTAACGTACCTTTTCAATAAACAAAAAAAAGTGTGCTTTTCAAAATGATATGCCACCAAAAATAACGAAACGGCGAGGCCAAGTATTGGAAATATATATGCGTAACTTTTTTTCAAAGTCGTATTTTTTCATCAGCCCAGCTCCAATTTTATATTTTTACTTTTAGATCGTGTTGTAATTCGTATATTGCCAGTTTGTAAGCCTACTACTAAAATCCTTATATCAGAGTTTTAATACTACTGTAGTAATGGAGTTTTATTTGATAAACAAACTTTTGATTATTCTGTAGCATGTTGAAAGACCCATTAAAATGCGGAATTTGTTCAATATCATTAGTACAACTGCGTTTTTGTATTGTAAATAAATGAAAAAATCGGAAATTGAAGTGAAATAAATAATGTCAAACAAATTCCGTAGGAAAAATCGAAAAACTCGATTCTAAAATAGTGTTAGTTAAAATCTAGTGATCACAGTTTTCACCTCGTATGCTTATAACAAAGAAGAGAAAACATGAGTAAGTAATTATATTTTATGTGATATTGAAAATTCTAAATTTTTCATTGTTATTATAAAGGATTCATTATGTAGATTATAGTTTCATCAAATGGAATTCATTATATAGATTATAATTTTATCATAGAGAATTTATTCTACACATTTATTATATGCAATTTATTTTTACAAATTTAATCTCTTTCTTTTTTTGTAAAGCTGATAATGACGATACTAGAGAAGCAAAATTGTTTCTAAAAAGACAACAGATAAAAAAGAAATGCGAGGATAAAGCTGAAAAATGTAGAATTGATTTGCTTAAAAACACGAATACAACAAAAATAGACAATTAAAATTACCACTACACTTGAATGACACTGATTAAGTATGCTTCAGCTCATTTTAAATTATTATTTTCTAAATTTTTTTATCTTCAAGTTTTTTAATGTTACAACTTCAATTTTAAAGATGCCAGTCTACAATAATACCTCCTACAAATATAAGTGATTCATTGAGTAAAAAAAAGATGCAACTTCAAGTCAGACAGAGACAAATTATCATCAAAACAAACAGAAAAGTCCGTAAACATACCTAATTTTATAGCTAGTGTCGATCATGATGTAAGTATGAGTGACCTTGATTAATCGACTCAATTTATGCAAAATATTAAAGGTTATTATAATAACCTATACATTGAATTTATTCATGTTAATAAATATTTTATTGTTTAATACCGATGTATTTTATTTTAAGTAATCTACACTACAATTTCTAAAATTATATATTTTATAGAATTTTTTAAGCTTGATGTTTACAAATAATTGTTCAAATGCTTGCTAACAACGTTTTATTACTTCAAATTTCACAATAATATAATAAATAATCAATTATTATACGAATTATAAAAAATGCAATTGTAACTAGTTGTCCTTCGTATCCATCTATATGTAGAATCTGAAAATGTATACTTATCATTTTCAACGAATGATTGATCTTATCTGATATAATACATACCTTATCAAGTTGAAACTTAATGAATAATTGATTTATCTGTTCAACATTCCATATTAGAACAGTAAGTTTCTTCGACCCATTAGAAATTATGCACTTGAAAAGATCTGTTTCCTTCCCTTTTACTAGTACTTTAGTACCACCAAAAATTTCCTAGACATGTCCAGTAAAATTGCTAACAGTGAAAAGAAAATACTTTAACACACAAATATCTGATGAATTTCATAATTTATATTTAGTTTGCTAAACGTTAGCATTCTTGAACCTCAAAATAACGTAATATTAACCTAAATGTTTTTTGAACTATTCGCGTGTTAATTTAATGAATTTCAAAACTCAATCAGTTACAGTTCAGCGTATTCAATAAAGTGTATTCCAATTTGAACATTTCCTTTCTTTCGTGAAATAAAAAGTACGAGGTCTGTTCAAAAAGTTTCGCGGATTTTGTATGTTTTCAAAAATTATTTATTTATTCATGAATATCTATTTTATCTCCTTCAAAGTAATCCTCCTAGGATATAATACACTTGTGCAAACGTTTTTTCCAATCCTCGAAGCACTTAAAAAAATCAATTTTTGTGATCTTGTTCAGCTCCTCCCTAGTTGAAAGTACAGAATAAAATCCAATAAAAAAAATATAAAATCAGATATTTTGAGTTTTTGCACCAGCAAAAACATATGAAATACAAAGAAATATATATATTCATTGGATCGTATGCGCTGCGTACCATACTTTTTTTATCAGTATACATTTCGATCTGCTAATGAAGTATAAAAATTAATGCCTACATATTTTGTAACAAAAAAATAATATAGTAAGTTATCATATAAAACCAATATGATTTTTAAAACGTAAAATAAATAAGAATTCTTATCAGTATTCAGTAGATTTATCAAATGACTAAAAATAACTATCTCATTTTATATGTATTTATAAGAACAAGCGTATTAAATATTAATGGTTTTTTCATTTATCAAACTTACAATAATATAATAATATTAATTGCTTTGGAATTGCACATTTAATTTGTATTAGTTTTCATTAGTATAGAACATTTAAAAAGGATTCACTAATATTAGATCCCATATGTCATTTTCTGGTGCCTATTTAATAGAAATAATGAGTATATATACAGACACTTTTGATTGCTCTTGTTATTAGTAATATTGCTCTTTTCTGGAAAGCAAGAGTTTAATTTCACCAGTTTCTATCAGAATAAAACATTATATATTCGATATTTTTAGTATGAATTTATAAGATTTATTTGCTTGATTTTTTTTGGGAATCAGTGGGTTTTCTTATTGTTTACGAAATGGAAATAATGGGAATATACATGATTTTCTTGAGATATTACAGATAATTTTGATTACCCTTGTTATTAGTAATATTGCTCTTTTTCGGATAAACAAATTATTAATTTTATCAATTTTTATCAGAATAAAACATTAAATATTCGATATTCTTAGTATGAATTTATAAGGTTTATTTGCTTAATTTTTTTGGGAATCAGCGAGTTTTCTGATTTTTTACGAAATGGAAATAATGAGTATATACATGATTTTGTTCCATGAGAAGGATTGAGATAGTTCCGATTGACGATTATGAGTAATATTGCTCTTTTCCGGAAAAACAAATTATCAATTTTTCCACTTTTTATCAGAATAAAACATTAAATGTTTAATATTTTTCGGGAGGATCAGCGATTTCTCCTATTTTCTACGCAATGGAAATAATGAGTATATGCGTGATATTGTTTCATTAGAGGAAGTTTGATTTTACAGAAACTTCTGATGGACCTTAAGAAACGTGTAGAATTGGTGTTTTATGATGAACTTACCTACATTTTTACTCATTAGTATAGAAGTATTCGTTAATTACAAATTAATTATTTTTCGTAATCAATTGTGAAATAAGGAAGAGAAAAAATGTAAAAAGTAAAGAGTCTTAAGGTGATGATTTCTTCTATATTTATAAATAAAACATCCTTACTGTCATAAAATAATATAATAAAATTTGAAAACGTACATAACTTACTTATGTAAATACAAATAATACTTAAGTTTTATTCATCATGATTAGATTCAATTTCGTCTTCACTATTCTCCTCATCATCACTGCCGTTTTCCCCATCATCATCATCATCATCATTGTCGTTTTCATCATCATCAGTATCGCTGCCTTCACCTTCCTCATTTTTTGAACTTGATTCTGGTTGATTTATACTATCCAAATTGACAGTTACTTGTGCCTCTACCTCCTCAAGTACATTATCGCTTGCTCCTTCTGGATCGCAAATTTTCTTTTTACTTTTGCGATTTATATCGGCTATTTTACTAGCGATATGCTCGCCTGTAGCTTTAACTTCTTGCGCGACTCTTACTGGATCCAATTGGACTTCAATTGCCAAATAATATTTAAAAATATCTGTAATATATATTATGTACATAAATGTTGGTCAATAATATATCACACGTTAGAGAATATAAAGATATAATACGTATATTACACACGCGTGCACAGTCACCACACACAGACATTTTTGAAATGATTAATAAGAAATATAAGGGATCTAAATTAAAAAAAAAAAAAATTAGTCGAATTGCGAAATTTACTTAGGGTAATTTGTATTTACATTGATATACGTTCTCCATTTTCATGAGAATAATACAAAATTCATGAAGGATCCACATAAATATGTATCAATCTGAACTTCTAAAGGTTAATTTTTATTTTATTTTACTTGATATTTACCTATAACAGCTCCTAACAACTTGAGATCAAGTTTTGGCTTTGCCGGAGCTTTAGTCCTTCCAGATTGTTTGCCAGTAACCGAGCTGTTTTTCAAAGTTTCAGTGCCAAAGATAGTTTCAGCTATATGGCGTACAAATCCAGAATATTCTGAGCCTTTTTTGTTTTTTTTACTGTATGTATACAGTTTGTTCTTGGCATTATCATAGTCAGTTTTTGATATATAAACGCTATTTCCGCAATGTATCCAACAATAAAAGAAAGTATGTAAAGCAACTTATTAAAATGTCTTTTACGATAAAATGATAACATTTTTAAAGCAAAGTGAATATAAGATTTCATTTGATTAAGTTGGAATAACATATTTTACTGTGTGAAATAGATAGTTGAAAGAAAATACGATGTAATGATGTATAGAAAAATTTACTTTCATTATAGCATTTTTTAATTACGTAATATTCAACGGTAAAGTGTAATTTTTCGCGATTGTTTGAGTAGATCTGCGCATAAAATCTAGCCATAAAACCACATAAAATCTAGCCATAAAACCGATGCGGAAATTCATGCAAAAAAAGGACTCAGAAATCGATATAGTGTCTAGGTGGAATCTGTCTCCATTCACATAGCAAATGTCTAAATTGCTCCGATACATTCCTATCATATAATGAAGGCTATAACAATTACTTATTAAGCTAGTCTATATATTGAAAAAGGAAAACATAAACCTACCATATTATCACTCTTTCGTAGGTACCCTACATCAGCATCTCCTTTGGCAATCTGTTCAAACGAATTAATATCTCGACTAGCTATTAATTGGAAAATAAATTATTCTTTCATAAATCATATAAGATAGTGGAGCAACAATTATATAAAATGTGAAATATTTACCATATTCATCTACCTTTTCATATATTTTAGCTTGCAACTGAGCATTAAGATCCTGCCACTTCTGTAACTCTTTTTGTTTTTTTATAGATAGATTTCGATATGATTCAATGGTTTGTAAAGTTTCTGCCAAATTGGATTCTGCTACTTTTAATTTGTTTTTCAATGTCTTTAATTCATTTTTGTCCTTTTTTTTATCTTTTATTTTATGTTTTTGATCTTTTAAATTTCCCACAGTTTTACATGATTTCTAATCGGTTTTTTTCGGTTCCGTTTGAAATTTCTTATTTTCTTTATTACAATCTTTAGGAATATTGATAGAATTATCAATAATAGTAGTAGAGTTGTTTAAAGTTGACACGTTCTGTTTGTCAGATAATCCGCGATCATGTTGGATGTTACTTTCAGTTTCTATTATCTGCAAATCAATAAAAAAAATTTAATATATAATTATACATACCTATATACAAACATTAATTGTCTCGCTAAGGAGGGTGTTGATGCATTTGAAAACCTTAATAAACGTATAAATCATATTTTATAGTCTACTTTCGATCAAGAGCTTTTATTAGTATATAAAAATTATTTTGGGAGAAGCAGGAAACAACAAGGATGAACCTTTAAATTTTTTGTAATTTGCATTGAAATTATATCTATTTAAACCTTGTGGATATCCTCTTTTGAAAATTAAGGAAAGTATAGTATTAGTACGCTATCCCGTTAAGCGTTCTCTTAATTTTTTAAATACTTATATTCGTTGAATGATTCTCCTTTAATACACTTATACTATTTTCAGGAGAAGTGATACTATTATCAACTTTTGCTGATGTAGCAACATGAACTTGTGGTGCAATAGTAGTGTCAACTTGTGGTGACGTAGCAATATAAACTAGTGGTGAAATGGTAGTGTCAATTTTTGTTGACGTAGCAGCTTCAACGTGTGGTAAAATAGTAGTTTCAACTTGTGCTGAAGTAGCAGTATAAACCTGTTGTGAAATAGTTGTCTCATCTTCAGCTGACGTAGCAATATCAATTTTTAGTGAAATATTATCACAAACGTTTGAAATCGTAGTGTTAGCTCCTGAAATTAAAATAGCAGTGTCGACTTGGAACGAATTCATAGTGGTGGCACTGAGGCATAATGACGTTAGCCACTTGCTCATTAAAATCGAGATTGATTAAAATGATTAATATTTGATGGATGCTTTCAGTCATGACTTTCTTATATCAAGAAGATATTATAACTACTACTAAAAAATGGATATTTTACAGACTACACTTAACCAATAATAAGACATTAATTGAAATTAAAATATATACTTTGAAAGTGAACAACGAATTCTATTACCGACATTTAAAGCTTGTAAATAATGAAATTTATCGCAAAAGCTTTCGCTAGACGATCTCCCCGTGCTACGATAATTCCAAGATCGACGGAATACATAAAGTTCACTGTAAATTGGCCAATCTTGGCGTATCTATATTATAAGTGACCATTTCATGGTGAAATTACTACAACTACCTAAATGAGCATTGTACTATATTTTATATCACCTTCCAACGTATTTGAACGATGAATGAATTATAATACAATTTTCTCAAAATTGCGAAAAGTGAATTTAAGTCGTTATTCCTCTAAGCCAAAAATATCTATATTTGGAATTTTATGTACTTACTTTTCTTCTTTGGAACATCATTATTTACGGATTTCTGCTTTCTTTTTTTACTTTTTTTATTACTTTTAGTATCGGAAGACTTTTTATTTTTTTCATTTTTCTTAACCTTATCAGAAGACATTTTTAATTCTAAAACATTTTTTTTTGTACATCTTCATTATTTTCTATACGTAAGGTCTCATTAGAATGATGATCTGAATACTGCATATTTTGGTACTGAAATAATTAAAAAAGTATTATTTTTAAGTAATTTAAGTCATCGCTGTATTGTATACAAAATTATCAAGTGCATTCGGAATCCGTAGGATCCTTGAGACAACTTCTGTCTGAACAAATAAAGGTCAATAGCATTTGTAGTTAATGGGTGTATTCCGTTTTGTCTCGATACTCACAAGACATTTCTGAACGTTCCGATTTAAAAAAACGGAAAATTGATGTAAAAGCGTTACAAAATTAAAAATTGAAACAGATTTCAGATTAACAATAATTTAACTTTAGCAAATATAATGATAACGTGCGGACGAGTTATAAAGTATCGAGAGTGATGTGTAAGTTTAGTCGAGTTACCCGGGTCTATAAGCGCTAAAATATAGTGTGTGCAGTAATTTAAATTATAGTTAGGTAATATTGTACAGAGTTAGTGACATTTTATAGTACAACGACAATTTTTACTAATGTTAGTTTTAAATTTTATTGAAAGTTGTTCTGATATTAGTTTGTGTTTTTCCTTTTGGGACTTTCCGATACGTCTCGCGACTCTCGAGACAAAACGAAATACACCCAACATCAAACATTAAATCATTTATAAAAAGAAAAGATTGCATCAAAACGAAAAACTTCTACGAATTAGTGGGAATATAATTACGATGCTACTGTAAAAATGTTAAACTGATCTTTGTCTCTTCTAATTCTGTGGAAGTTGAGTGCCCGCTCGGTTGAAAAAAGTGGAAAAAAGCTATGCTGATGATTTAACAATTTTTTTAGATTATAGAACGAAGAACATATTTTTTTATTACGTAAATGTTTTATTGTATACTTCATCGAAATTTGTTGTTTTAAATTGTGAAAATGAAACCAAAAATGTTTCCACAAGCACAAATTTATGTACATCTACTGATTTTTTTGCAGTGCGTATAAGCATTCTTCTACATCAACTTAAGGCAAAAAGGTAAAAAACATGTTGGATCAGCTTTTTGCAAAAAGTGGCTATATTTGAGAGTAGATAAAATACTACATGCAAAGGGACGTACGTAAATTTGTATCTCTGGTAATTACTACCCTCGCGAGAAAATTTTTACTATGGCCGTACAGACCTCTGGCGCCATTCACCACATATAGAATAGAATAGAAAATTTTTCCTTTAGGAGTAAACCCACCAGCGGGAAACATTGCTACTTTCGCCTTTTGTTGAAAAACGGATTATTATTATACTAAAAAATTATTTTAACAACGTCATAACTGATCTAATAAAAATCGAGCAAGAGGATGCGTTATGGATGGAATTAGCATAAAATAAGAATTGATAGAGAACATTCCAAATACCTCTTAAACAAAAAAAGGAATTGTTTAAGTAAATAAATTAATTTAAAAATGAATGATTCTATCGGTGTACGAACGCACGTAGCGCCCTTTATATTGAGCTTCATGTTTTAATTTGTACAAAACGAGTTTTCTCATTAACCAAGAATACATTTCTTTAAAATCATAGAGTATTGTATAACCCTGATTAAATTGGTAGAATAGAGATTGTACAATGCTTTTATAATATGCGTTTAGAAGTTAGATTGTAGATCTTTAATTTTATATTGTACAATATTGCATTTAACCTTACATATACGGGAATGTTGTTTAAATTCTGTTTAAAAATTAACTTGTAATTTAATGTTTTTTTATCATTTATCTATTGACCTTTACAGAAATTATATAGCTTTTGTGCTATGTAATTACGTGTGAATAGTTGATACGTGATTGACTTAGATGATAAATAATTGATTAATTTGTTGACTATGGAGTAGTTATTTATTATCATATATTTGCGAAACATTCAATTACAATTCAATTTTGTTTTTCACTAACACTTTAATTGTTATAAGTATTACATACCTAATGACATTCATAATTGTTTGGTAAGAATGATATGTACTCGTTAATTGTGTTATTTATCACAATAACTTTGCATTTGATATTATCTATCTTAAAAATAATTTGATTTGATTTTTTTCCTATAACTTTCAAAATGTGCTTAAGAGTAGGTTCATCGGTTCCATTAAAATCATTTTTCCTGGTTAACCACTGACAACCGCAGCCATAACATTCATTATCTACTTTTATGAAGTAATGCACTTCAACAATTTTCCCGCACGTACTCTCGATTACAGAGTCATTCGTTTTTGTTACTCGTGTATATTTAATTGTATGATAAATGGAAGATTCGTAAATGCATTTATCATAGCAGGTAATATGAGTTTTACACTGAAGAACATTTTCTATCATATTTTTTAGTTTCATGTTTTCAACGCCGATTCCTATTAGAATAACATTATCCAAACGGGTAAAATTTTGTAGACGTATTTTAGAATTAAACAGTGACTTGCAGTACTCTATTGATTTTCGTGATGAACATTCAGTTTTTTCAAT